TTTTCCCCCCCCCCCCCCCCCCCCACACCCCCAACTATCTGCCGCTGGGTCTCCGAGGATGCTTCAAGATGTGCAAGGCACAGCTTTTCCCTCGTTCAGAATTCGCTTTAAAATCACCATTCTTATGTGTGAACAAAATCCCTATCCAGACGGTGTAGTGTGAACAAAGCTGTAGTGTCGCCGGGTCTCAAGGGACTTAATGTACGATGATTAGATGCGGAATGAGCGTTAACATTCGAAGCAAAAAGGGACTTGATTTGCATATAGGACAGTGTAGAACGGACTAGTAGGAGGACCATTAACGGAACTAAGGGCGTATAATGTAACCGTTTATTCCGCATCTAATTATCGTACATTAAGTCCCTTGAGACCCGACACTACAAGGCGCTCGATAATTTTGCGGAATGAGTGTTAACGTTCCAACCAAAAAGGGACTTGATTTGCATATAGGACAGTGCTGAACGGACTAGTAGGAGGACTATTAACGGAACTAAGGACGTATAATGTAACCGTTTATTTGAGCTCGAGTCGCGACTTCACAATAGCATTAAGTTGTATTTATTTATTTATCGCAATCTATGGTCAAAGGTCAAAGGATAATCGGCAAAGGAGTCCTAAACCCTATATAAAATAGATCACCCATGAACAAATGTAGATACTTAATAATAAAAATAATAAAAAACAACAACAAACCAAATTAAAAGTCACTGAGGAATTTCTTAAATTATCATAGCAACGAATCTCTAAAGGGAGTTGATTCCACGTGTCAGTTATTCATGGGGAAAACTATACTTCAAGACATTAGTTCTGTTTAACTAACTAAAAAAGAACATAAAAACAAAAAATTCGAAGAATATATTAAGATATGACAAAAATTAAAAAATCACTAGGAAATTTCTCAACTCTAGACTTGAAAGTATTTACATTATCAGAGCAACGAATATCTAAAGGTAGCTGATTCCAAATGTCCGTTATTCGATGGGAAAAAACTATACTATATGTTATGTTATGTATGTTAGTATTTCTTGGTAAGATGATTTCTGAAAGTGACTTACTGGTTGAATATTACCCGATGGCTACTCAGCAAGATAGTCACTAATTTTCTAACATCATCTTATATTTAAGATACTAAAAAACTTATGGAGAACTAGTAGGACACAAACAAGAGCTTGGTTAGTTAGTAACTATTCAGCAGAAAGTTAGCTAAAGTTGTTCTGTTCAAACTGAAACATGGATACGGTTTTAACATGGTTAATGTAATATTTACAGATTTAGAGACTTGGCCACAGACGTGAACATTTTGAAACTGTTTGCGTGCTAAAGGGGAAGCGTTCTTTAAAAGCATATTCTCGGATAAATAAAGTTGGAAATAAAGAAAAAATACCGTTAACAGTACCCTGTCCTTTACATTAAACCCCTGTGCCGTCAGACATTTCTGACCAAATCTTTCTTTTTGAACCGTTTTTCGGCCAGTTAGCATAGAGTGACTAAGAAAAAATTTTCCAACACTCTCTTTTCCATTTTGACATTTTTAATACCCAGTTTATAGAAAATTCTCCAAAAATGAACATGTTTTCATGTTGACTCACCCTCCTCGGAGGATAGACCCAGGCTTTCCCCCCTGAACTTTTTTGCATTTTGAAAAGGAGCAGGAAACAGAAATTGCTGGGGGGGGGGGGGGGAAAAAA